AAAAAAAAAAAAAAAAAAAAAAAAAAAAAAAGAGTGGCACGATGGTGCAATAATTACCATTTTGGCTTGTTTACACCCATACACTTAGTTGCACGCTTCCTTTTTTTTCCCCCCAGAAGTCTTCGGAAACAACCGACCCTCTTGGTCTACGTCTGGAAGGGCAGTTGCTTAATGATGCATGTTTAATTGCAATTCATCGCATCTCAGTGCTATGTAAATTATTCCTCTCCTCCTTTAAACAGGCTAAAAGGTTTTACTAATTCTCTGCGCTTAAGCAAACAAAGTTGAGTTTTGCTATGTGGGGCTGCAGCTCAGGTCTGTGTCTCTGTTCCGGAAGGACTCGAGGAACAACCGTGTTTTCACCCCAATTCAGCTGCTCTCGCTCGGCTCGAGCATCGTGCCAGCCCTGTCCTTCCTCAGATAGGCAGGACTTTTGTTCTCCAGGAAAATGACTATTTTTAGCTCACAAAATATGGTATAAATCACCGTGTGGGTCAATGCTTGCTAATTACCCATGACTAAGTCCCAATTTAATGTGTACTGACATAGAGATTTCCAAATAATAACGCCTTCCCCCTTGCTGCACTCCAGTCATAAAATACACATTAAAGAGGCCTTCTTTTAGGAGAGCAGGTGCTGAGACTAAGCGCTGACAAAAAGGCACTTCTGGGGTGTGAAATACGTTATTGAATTAGCAGCGAATGCATTAGTTAGGTCTGAGTTATGCTTTGAACATCTAAGACACACGCAGCCATGCCAACTCTCTCCTCGCTCTTTCAGCCCATCTTTGGGGTGAAAATTTCCCTTGTCGCCTGCTGAATGCAATATGGGAGTAGAAAGGAGCATGGAGAAAGCAGCGTGAAGAAGGATTAAGAGTCATGGGATGTTGGGAGGTTTGAGGGAAAGGGAGTGTGAGGGAAATTGAAGGTTGTGTTGTCCGTACGGGGAAAGTGAAACTCTCAGACCGCTGTTGGCGTGCGAGGGGAGCAAGTTGGAGAGACAGAATCTGTTGCCAACTCAACGGGCGACCTCAGGGAAGTGTATTCTCCCCTCAGTGTAATAAATTATCCTTTCATAAAATCCGATGGTCCTAAAAGGCCATTTAAAACAAGAAACCCCAACTTTTAAGGCTGCTAAATGAAAGCAGCGCAATTGTCTATCACATCATCTAGAAACCCCAAGCAGTTAAAGCCAGGGAAATGAATAGTTAATGATACCATAAATCTTACGCTGCCACATAAACATAAACACATTTTTTCTTGTCATGTATGAAGGAATAAATGTTTTATCACACCTTAACTCTGCCACATTGAATTATTTCCCTATTATTATGACTATTTTAAGGCAAGTATGTATTTCCTCCAAAGGGCCTGTGTGGGGAACGAGTTACTCGGTTATTTATTTGTGAATGGACAGGGTATCTTCGGTGGAGTCCTGTGGAGGTTAAGGCATGTCCAAATTCAGACTAATCAGAAATTTGTCTGACAACAGTTGACTGGAAGTTGGAAGAGGAACTCCCTGGCCATTTAGGAGGTGAGACAGCAGAGAATAACACAGGCCTGTGGATGGGCACTTCTTCCCCGTGCCACAGAAGAAGAGAAGATGAGAACTTGTGTGGAAGGAAAGAGGTCTGGAGTTTCTCTGTTGTAATACCCCACGGCGCTCAGCAGCAAGAAATACCTACAGACAGGTGTTTTGCCTTTGAAACTGGGGGAAAATAAATAAATAAATAAATCATCTTGTTTCTTTTGAGTTTAAAGTGACTGGTTTTTGGAGCCCCCGTGAGTAGGTGCACCCCTTTGCTGCACGTGTCTCAGGGGCTGAGCGGCACCCAAAGGATTGTGCACTTGAGAGAGGATGTGTATAAGCTACCCGCAGCCGGAATTAAAGACTCTAGGATCCTATTTCCACGACGGTGTAAAAGAAAAGGGAAATGGGGGGAAAAAAAAATAGTTTGTGAAATGGCCGCTCCGTTTCTGCGTGGAAAAGACACGCTCCTGTCCTGGGGGGAGCGACGGGTTCATATCTCACCGCCGCGTCCCAGGCACGTCACGTGCCACTTTCTGAGGCTGCACAGAGCAGGTTTTACCACCTTTGTAAAACACTTTGAATTCTGAGTGAAAACTATTATTTAAGCGCAAAATATAATTACAGTGAAGATCAGCATGTAGAATGCTGCTGGGGAAAGGGGTGTGACATTACGTTTAGTAATTAGGCAGAAAAACGCAGAGGAAATGGATTGTAAATAAAAAAAAAAATTAAAAAAAAAAAAAAGGAAAGAAAGAATGAAAGAAAGAAAAGGGTAAATTAAGCTTAACTAGCAGAAAAACCCTTTTCAGAGATTGATTGGTATTGTGTCTAAACCAGCAAAGCAGAGCTGATCTTAGCCCCTAATTCAGTGTCCAACATCTGGACCCTTTTTTTCAATGTCTTTATCTGCAAAATACAGGCTAATAATTGTTATGAATTTTTGAGCGGCACAAGCAGCAATACGACAGCTAGCTTTGATTTACTGTCATGTATACTTTGAGTATTTCCCTAAAGTACTCTCAGTTCTTTGTGTGAAAGAGCTGCTGCAGAGGTGCAAAGTACCACTATTATTATTTAGTATTAGTATTATTATTATTATTATTATTGTGCGGAACATTTCAACCCTGGTACAATCAAACTTGTGGCTAGCAAACCAGTTCCCAGAAAAGGGAGCCTTTACAGCAAAAAATTGCACCAACTAATGAACTCCCTGTTAAAAAAAAAAAAAAAAAAAAAAAAAAAAATAATTGGATTGAGAGACGACTTCGTATGAAGGGGTGGGCCACCAGAGTCAGGTGAAGTCCGTGCTCTCTCCAGGATATAATAATAACGCCACTTTTCATAGTGCATAAAGACAGTTAACTACTAATATTAACTATATTGAGAACTTTTCAATACAAAGAGGCTCTGTATAACCTTTTTATAAGGTAATCAAGATATATAGCTAAAATTATACAAGGCAAGAGCCTCCAAGCTCCTTTTGAAGCATCATCAGGTATCTCTTAGGTCCCATCAGGATTTTTTCCCCCTCCAAGCGCCTTCTGAAGCACTGTCAAGTAGTGCTTAGGTACCATCGGGATTCTTTCCACGTGCCAAGGAGGAACCAGAGGACCAAGGCAGGCACCTGTAGGATTAAGGGGAACAACCTGAGCCTTGTAGGCCCAGAATGCAAAGTCCTGCAGGCTAATATTTTCCACGATCATCATCACGTTGGGAACGGTCCCTACTGCACTGCCACAACTAATCCTCTCCATGCCATTCCCTGCCTACAATCAGGTCGATTCTACCTATATTGAGACAGATAATTACTATTTAAGGTTCTTTTCTCCACA